CTAGATAGTAACACTCATAATAAATCCCTAGATGGTAACATCAATTGAGAAAGAACCTAATTTATAAATCCCTAGATCAAAGTTTTGAAACAATCTTGCAAATTAATAATTACAAGAAAAAGAAGAGTATAAGAAAAAGGAAAAGCAAAGAAAGAAAAAGTTAAAATGGAGAAAAGAAGGAGCTTTGATGTTGAAGGATGGAGAGGTGCATGTACACCTAACCTATAGGTAGGACCACAAAGCTTCATCTTTCGTGATGTTGGGGGCATCCACATTTATATTTCAACAAACGAACGATAGTGTTTTTCTTTTCCCAAAACGGTGGCTGCAACCACCAAATTACAGTCCTCTAAATCCAGCTCAAAGGCCCACAAACGATAAGGAAAACCAAAACCAAAATGGCTGAAAACCAAACAGTCCGTTTCGGCATTATAGGATGTGCCCGCATAGCTAGAAAAGTGGCTCGAGCCATAAAGCTCGCACCGAATTCCACCCTCTACGCCATTGCCAGCCGTTCGATCGAGAAAGCCCAGAAATTCGCAGGCAACAATGGATTATCCGGGACCGTCAAGACCTACGGGAGCTATGATCAGCTGCTGGATGACCCATGTGTCGATGCAGTGTACATGCCCCTTCCCGCTAGTCTTCATCTGCACTGGGCAGTGTTAGCTGCCCAAAAGAAGAAGCACTTGCTGCTGGAAAAACCAACGGCTCTTGATGTGGGTGAGCTTGATCAGATATTGGAAGCATGTGAATCCAACGGTGTACAGTTCATGGATGGGAGCATGTGGCTGCATCACCCTAGGACGGCCAAATTGAAGGAGTTCATCTCTGAATCCAACCATTTTGGTCAAATTAACATTGTAAGCATTTTGGTCAACTGAATTATTTTCAGGTGATAATCGTTACGAGTCTTTTATTTTTTTTTTGTGTGTGAATTTTAGATCCGTAGCACATCGACAAAGCCAGTAACCCAGGATTTTCGGGAGAGCAACATAAGAGTGAAACCGGACTTGGATGCTCTCGGTGCGCTTGGGGACCTAGGCTGGTACTGCATTGGGGCCATCTTGTGGGCAAAGGACTACAAATTACCAACTCTAGTGAATGCTCTGCCTGATGTCACCAAAAACTCTGCAGGGATCATCTTGTCTTGCACTGCATCATTTCATTGGGAACCATTAGACGAAACGGTTGCAACGATTCACTGCTCTTTTCTTTCCCACACATCCATGGACTTGGCTATATCGGGCTGCAATGGTTCGCTGCACTGCAACGACTACATTATTCCGTACCAAGAGAAATCTGCTTCGTTTGACTTCACATCCGGTGCAACGTTCTTGGAACTCCATATTGGGCGGAATGTAAGGCCTGAAGAAGTTAGAGTGATTTCTGAGCTGCCGCAAGAGGCCTTGATGGTTGAAGAGTTTGCAAGGCTTGTTAAGGGCATTATGAAATTTGGACACCGTCCAGACAGTAAATGGCCCGAGATTAGTCGAAATACGCAGGTAATATTGGATGCAGTGAAGAAATCCATTGATCTTGGTTGTAAACCTGTTAAGTTGTAATTTCTTTTGTTGGATTTTAGCTCATATGCTTTCCTAGTAGGCATCTACATTTAGCATGAAACTGTCTGTGTGACAAATACTTTGTATCTTAAGATACTGCCCAATGAGACACTCCTTCAATATTTGATACTATAACTAATATATAAATCAATCTCCTGCCCAATGTTACGACATTTGTAATAATTACACAACGTGTCGATATTCTAGTGTGACACAATAATTTCTCCATTAGGTGCACGTAACAAAATAGTGGTGCAAGTTCTGAGTTTTCTTCTAGCTAGGGGAGCGATTCTGAATTTTGAATCTAATATTTGTTGAGAGTTTCCTCTATATCCACATACAAGTTATACAAGACTTGCGAGAGCAAGGAAATTAAAATCCGAACAAAGGGGAGAAAATGATTGCCGCGATTTCTCTCTCAACGAACATACCCGCCGGTTCAACTAACATGACTGTAACTTCAGGCCCCAACGGTACTAAAAAACACAGCAAACCTCTAACTTCAACCCTCAAATGGCTTGCCAAATCCGGCAAATTAGACGAGGCCCTTCGCCTGATCGAATCCTCACCGTCCAGATTAACATTCACCGAGCTCGATGTAGAAGCCTACTCTCTCCTCCTCCACACCTGTATCTCCAGAAAATCATTGGAGCATGGCCGAAGGCTTTATCTTCAACTTCTTCTCTCCAAGGACAGAGGCAACAACCACAGCCTTCTCCACAACCCAACTTTGAAAAGCAAGCTCATCACGCTTTACTCTGTTTGCGGCCGAATGGATGAGGCTCGCTCTGTTTTCGAGGATGGGTTGGAAGATGAACAGGTTCCCGAGTCAGTGTGGGTGGCAATGGCTATTGGGTACTTGAGAAATGGGTACTTGGTTGAAGCTTTGCTTGTGTATTGTGAAATGCTGATCCGGTTTGTCCAGCCGGGTAATTTCGCGTTTTCGATGGCGTTGAAGGCGTGTGCAGAATTGCCTGAGTTGAGAGTTGGTAGAGGAGTCCATGCCCAGATTGTGAAATCAATTGAAGAGCCTGATCAAGTGGTGAACAATGCTCTTTTGAGGTTGTATGCGGAGAACGGGTGTTCTATTGAGGTCTTCAGGGTGTTCGATACAATGCCTGAGAGAAATGTTGTTTCCTGGAACTCTTTGATTGCGAGTTTTGCTCGACGAGACCAAGTGTTTGAGTCATTGGATTCTTTTAGAAGGATGCAAGGAGAGGGGATGGGATTCAGTTGGGTTACCCTTACGACGATTTTACCAGTCTGCGGTAGACTGACTGCACTTCATTGTGGGAAAGAGATACATGCCCAGATTGTAAAGTCCACCAAGAGACCTGATGTCCCTGTATTAAACTCACTTATCGACATGTATGCAAAATCTGGAGAAATTGATTACTGTAAGAGAGTGTTTGAGAGAATGCAAAGTAAAGACTTGACATCATGGAATACTCTGCTGACAGGGTATGCAAACAATGGATTCATAGAAGAAGGAATGAAATTGTTTGATCAGATGGAAGAGTCTGGTGTCCGACCAGATGGAGTAACATATATAGCTTTGTTGTCTGGCTGTAGCCATGCGGGGCTTACTGATGAAGGACGAAGATTGTTTAATAAAATGAAGTTAGTTTATGGTGTTTCACCAACAGTTGAGCATTATGCTTGCTTGGTGGATCTCTTGGGCAGAGCTGGTAGAATTAAGGAAGCCTTAGATGTAGTGGAAAGAATGCCTATGAAGCCGACTGGCAGCATATGGGGATCATTACTCAACTCATGCCGGCTCCAAGGCAATGTTTCTCTTGCAGAGTTTGCTGCAAAGGAGTTGTTTGAACTTGAACCGACCAATCCTGGGAACTATGTAATGCTTTCCAACGTTTATGCAAATGCAGGAATGTGGAATGATGTGAATAGGGTTAGAGAACTGATGAAGCATAGGGGAATTAAAAAAGATGCTGGATGCAGTTGGGTACAGATAAGGAATAGAATTCACACATTTCTAGCAGGCGGGGGTTTTGAATTTCGTAATTCAGCTGAGTTCAAGAAGGTCTGGAATGAATTGACGGATGCTATGAAAGAAGTTGGATATATCCTTGACACTAGTGTTGTGCTACATGATGTAAATGAAGAAACTAAAGCAATGTGGGTTTGTGGGCATAGTGAAAGAGTCGCAGTTACGTTTGCACTTGTCCACACTGCTGCTGGAATGCCAATTAGGATTACAAAGAACATACGCATTTGTGCAGATTGCCACTCCTGGGTGAAAATAGTTTCAGTGATTACAGGGAGATTGATTGTTTTAAGGGACACAAATCGCTTCCACCATTTCAAAGGAGGAGCATGCTCTTGTAAGGACCACTGGTGATAACACCATTCTTTCTTACTTTTCTGCTAAGGTTCTACCATTCTTTCTTATTTTTTTCATGATTCTTCTTTACATTTTTGTCAAATTTGATTCCTCCTCGTTTGAGGACCCATTAAAATAAGATTATGTTATATTCTAGCCATATTGTGCAAACAGATGGTTGATTAGTGCAGATAAGTCTTAAAACACCGTATAGATCTCACTGATTGTGACAATTAATCTTGATGTGAATTTCTATTAAAATACTACTTGATGAAAAGGGAACCCTGAGAAAGAACATAAAAATTATGAGTTCAAATGTACAAGACTAAGAAAGTTTTCAACGAAGAAGACGCTGGCGGAGATCATATTCTTTTATAGTTGAAGCTGTGATAAAATTTTCCCCAACTTCTTCAGGAACTAAGTAGTCAGGGTCTTCAGAACTGTCTACGTCTTCTTGTAAGTTGGTGTCAATCCAAGAGGACCAGTTAAATTCACTATCTTCCTCCCATGACAACTTCTGGTATCTTTGCATGCCATTAACCTTCTCAATCAATGTATGTAACAACTGATTGTTCAACACTTCATAGTCCCTGCATAGTTTGAATGGCACCCTTTTAGATATTGAATGCGCCTTTCGGCTCAAGTTTCAAAATTTTCAGCATATATAATACCTGTATGTGAAAATTGCATGTATTAGCTTAACTAAAGCAATTACAGCAAAGGTTGATCGGAAAAGGTTTATTTTCCATGTTTGCTGTTGAATGTCGATTGAGGTGAACCGAATTGTCACTACTTCTATTAAGAATGTGGCACACAGCCCTGTCAATGAAATTAGATATACAGCAGTAAATATAAGTTAATGAACCAATGTAAGTTTCTGAATTTTTTTCCTTTTCATAATAAGATAAAGTACTTACCAATATATAGCCAAGGTCTAACTGTGTATGTTTGCTTTGTGCTTGTGAACATGTAGATAACAAACATCGATATAAAGTAAATAAAGAAAGCTTTGATTAAGCGCGATTCAAGCAACATAGCATTGTGCAAAGTGAATAGCTTGTCTAATGCAATGAACATGCTGGCTTGCTTTGATTCAAAAGATTCCTGTGAGCAGAAAAAAACTGAGAATAAATTAAAAAAACTGTGAAAACCAGTCGAAGAAACCTCGTTAAATAAGAAATCTAAAGCTGAAAAACACCTGAGCTGCCAAGATTGACTTTGAATTTTTCATCAAGTGATCATGAACTTGTTGAAGCTGTTGTTGCTTTTGAAGAAGCTCTTCTTGTTGTCTATGGCCATATTCAGCTAACCGGTGAAGTGTACTCCTGCGATTTTAAAAATGAGTTAGAGAAACTCTACAAATTTTCAGACTTCATATTGTTTTTATTTTCTGTTTTTACCTGCTCTCTTCTAATGCTTCAGATTGAAATTTTGTTAAAAACTGAAGATCCTTGAGAGCAGTCGTCTGTCCATCGAGAAGCTGATGTTGCTTATCCAAAGAGACCCCAGCCATATTCCCAATATCATCTGCTTTGCTTTGCAGATTCTCCATCCTAGATGACATTTGGTCTCCAATTTTAGTTATCTCCTTTTCAATTTCAACTGCCTCATTTCTTAAGTTATCAATTTCTTGGCCCAAATGGCTGTATGAATCTTGCAGCATTGCCATCCCGTCTTTCAAGTTTCTCTTCATTTCTACTTGTCCTTCTTGCAGCTCTGATTGAGAAGCTTGGATTTTCCTGGATTGCTCATAAACTGCTGCCGAATGCTTCAACACGACGTCTACATGATCTTCCACATTTTTTGCAGTTTGAGCAACTTGCTGTGTTTGAACATCAATCGAATTCAAAGACTCATATATTTGATTTGAGCCCTGCAGTAGATACTCTGCCTTCTCTTCAATTTTTTCCAACTTGCCTTCTACATATTGGGCTGAATTTTTAAGTTCATTCACCAGTCTCTCTGTTTCATGCTTAAATACTCGAGCCCTGAAAACGACCAAAAAACAAAGTTCTTGTTAGTTTCCCAGGAAAAATTCTTTCAACTTACATGGAAGATATTAGTATACTCAACTGTAACTGATGGCAGATTGAATTGGTCTCAAGGTAGAATTCCAGATAGACCTTATGCTCATAGTCATTCAAACTTTTCAGGCATTTATACATGACAGATTTTGGGTCACATGAAGGAAAAGGAGGCCTGCCAGAGTCCTTCTGAAAACAATCACTAAGATGCCAAGCAAATCTCGACCGCTTCTCTTCGACAGCGAAAATCTCCGAGCACCCAGAAAAGAGATGCCGATAAGCATTTTGCCAACAAGAGTCTGAACCAACCAATTTCGCCTTAGCATTTTCAACTAGCCTGACCCCCTTCTGGTCATTAACACCTTCCATGGAGAATTTACCAACCGAACCAGAAGGGTTCTCATTAGAGGAGGTCTCTTCTGAAGAGAACCAACCCCACGAGTGACAGTTGGATGAAGCCGATGTTATAATTAGCAGAGCCAGAAGAAAACGAAGATGATCCATTTCAGATTTCTTATCTGAAACTTTGTACAAACCTGCACTGCAAAATTCAAAAGTTTATGACTTTATGCTTGGAGGGCCTTGCATATACATGTACACAGATATATAATTATAATATCTTAAAGGCTTGGAGTTCAAGAAACGGAAATGGAAAAGGTTGAAATGTGACTTTAGCCGTTTGTGATGCAAAAGTTAGAGAGAAGAAGGGATAATAAAAACATCAGAAAAGGGACAAGGAGAAGATGAAGGTGAAAGGGACATGTAATTAATCTGCAAAATCATGTAATCAAGCAAGGTAATAAGGATTTGAAGATAAAAGATTATTTCAAAACAGCCATGAAAAAATAGTTTGAAAAAAAGAAAAGAAGCAAAAGACAGGAGGGATGACCTGGGTTGTTGTTTTCAGTCGTGTCTCTCACAAGAAGTCACAATCTAATGTGGTTTTTTTTGGTTTTTTTGGAAACGAAGAGAGAATTAAAATAATATATAGAAATCAAAGAGACGTAACTTTTCATAAGAAAGGAAGGAAACAAGAACATTGCTTTTTGTCTAAATAAGGCGCGTAATGGTTCGTATTCAGGTGTGTTCGCGCGGATTAGGCATCTGAGTCTCATATTTACCATTATGCCCTCACCACGTGCTGATGACATGTATAAGAAAGGGTTACTCCGGGTATTAATGTTTGGGCCTCTTTGGCAACGTTCACTACGGCTTGCCAAGTTCCTTAGCGGGCCCAGCAGGCCGCTCCCGACTCGAAATATAATTATTGGCCCGAAGAAGAAAATTTATCAATAATATTAAACATTGAAACATTAGTATTAGTTAAAATTAAAAAGGGTATGAAGTAAGCAACTAGTTTTTGGTCTAGTGTTATTTGTCTTTACTTGATTGGAGGAAGTCTCAAGTTCAACTCACATAAATGGCGAGGACAATATATAGTCACTACATTGGATAACTAGTCTAATCCAATTGTGATGCAAATTCAAATGCAAGTCTTTTTTTTTTTTTTTTGGTCAA